GCCATACAACTGCCCTTGATGACTAACATTCTTTCCAATCACAGCTGGCTGCTTCCCCAAATATGCTAAGGATATTCATAATTGTGTATCTTTATTAGAGATGTACCCTCACCCTATCTGCCTAAAAAACCTCCTGCTTAATAACAAAGGCAGGGTCAAATACTGCCATTTGTGAAACTACCTGGAGCTCTTTAAATTTTAACAGGGGAGCTTATAGCTCCCCAAAGGGCAACACAATTCATCTTTCTATGAGACAATCCTGTACAAAGCAGGACACACAGCAGCCCCTATTAATTTCACAGCACTTTCTTCACTGTATAATATAGTACATATCATACATGTGCCATATTTGATCTGCTTGTTAGATTTACTTCATTCCTCTATTCATGGTGTACTAGCAATATTTACTTAATATATTTATATGTGGAGTAATAACAGCACTCTGAAAAATCTCTAGTGGAACAACTTCACAGTTCAGTCACTTATACATTGTTGACATTATTATCCATATGCAACTTATAAGTTATGTATTATAAAGTCCTCAAAGACCACTGAACTAAAACCAGGGTCCTTCTGAAGCAGATCTTTTGCTTACCAGGTGTTTAACATGTCTCAGCTATCATACTATAGCCTATTATCAAATCTGACTAAGTGCTCCCAAGTTCTTTATAGAAGAATGACTGAGAATTACTCCACAGTCCATAACTGGTATTTCTTTTATTCAAATTGAGACACAATTCGCATACCAAACCACAAAATAAACCCTCTGAATATGTACAACTCAGTGATTGTTAGTTTTCTCACAAATTTCTGCTATCATCACCACTCTAATTCCAAAACATTTTCCCTGGGTGATCTTATAAGGGAAAGAAAAGCGGGACTACAACTGATTACAGAAAGTACATCTGAAAGCTTTTCCTAAAAATGGATATGTTTTTACACTTAAGAAAACACTGTAAATATTTGTGGCAGAAATCAGAAACACTTATAAATCAAGCTTGATAAGAACATTGCCAGGTTAGCTGTGACAAACAATTTCATACGTGTTAGCCTACCGAAGAACTTTCAGATCTACTTTTAGTATATTCCAATCCTCTTGCGTGAAAGATAAGATTCCTCAAAAACCATAGCTTTAAAAAAATTTTTTTTATTGGAAAAGAGTTGATTTACAATGTTGTGTTACTTTCTGCTGTACAGCAAAGTGTATCAGTTATACATATATATATATCTCCATTCTTTTTTAGACTCTTTTCCCATATAGGTCATTACAGAGTATCAAGTAGAGTTCCCTGTGCTATACCAAAAACTACAGCTTTAATGCCTGTTAGATATCTCCAACAATGTGCCAATTATTTTTATTACAACACTTTCGGTACAACAGCACAATGTGCCTTCTAATGATCAGTAATTTCAAAAATAAATGACTAAATATCAATGTGGAAAGAGAATTAAAATAAATAAAGAGAAATTAATTTAAGCATTTGAAAGAAAAAACACTCAAAGGAACTGCTTCACACAAGAAGTCCTCTAACAGGAACTATTCCAGCAACAATTTCCCTAGAAGCAACAAGATTCAACAGGACACAACTCGTGTCAGCTTACAGGACTTATCAGACTTTCAACATCAATGAACAATATGTTTTGTACTCAACGGTAACTGATGCAACTCTCCTAGTTTTATACACAGACCCCCATGAATATTCACCCAACTTTGAGCCTTGTATTCCTACCAGAAAAAAAATGTGTTAACAAATCTTTGAGTAATTATAAACTATGCATGACAGTTTATAGCATATTTGAAAGAGCTGACAATGTATCTGAGTGACATTAACAACCCTATCTAAAGTGGTAGTTTCACGTATGTTGGCACAATTTATGTTAAACTCATCTAAGAACTTCCAACATCTATTACATCAGGAATGGCCTTAAGAACAAATAAAAAGACAGACCTAATTTACATAATTTATGAAAAAGTAATTAGCGTTAAGACTACAGAATCCAATCTGCTGTCTCCTCAGAAGACAGCATACTAAAATATTAAGTGACTCAGTTAAGTTTTAATATTTGATTATCTAGGTTTTTTTGCGGTACGCAGGCCTCTCACTGCCGTGGCCCCTCCCGTTGCAGAGCACAGGCTCCAGATGCGCAGGCTCTGCGGCCATGGCTCACGGGCCCAGCCGCTCCGCGGCATGTGGGATCTTCCCAGACAGGGGCACGAACCCGTGTCCCCTGCATCGGCAGGCGGACTCTCAACCACTGCGCCACCAGACAAGCCCTATCCTCCAGTTTTAAAGGTAGAGTATTTATATTCTTTGGGACTTGATCACCAATACCCACAAATACCCAAGCAAAAATACAAATCACTCTAATTCTCCTAACAAAACATCATTTATCACCTACTCCCTGATATCTAAAATATATATATCTCCTTAAGAAACACCCAATGCCTTCATTCTTAAAGCTTCTAACAAAAGTCAGGCTAATGATGATTAAAGTGTGCAATACCTTCATGAAATATTCTGGTCTCCTCTCCCACCTCCCCCATGTCAAAAAAGAGAAAAGAAAAGAAGAAAATAGTACTTGAATCTCAACTAGCCTCCAAATCTACCCCACTAGTTCACAGGGAATACAGGTGGCAGAGGAACATGCTAAACAACACAAAATATAACCTGCAAAATCTGTGGTCTAAAAAAATTTCCAGTCTGTGGAACACTGATGAGATTATTTTAACTATTTTAATTATAAATGGTATTGTCATTATGCTTATAAAAGCAGTCTTTATCTTTTACTGATATACTACTTTCTTATATACGTATATTTGAATTAAAAAGTTCCATAACACAGTAAACAAAAAAATTGAAGTAACTACTAAACAGCATGTCTAGAAAACAAACACCAATCAGTCTTCATTTCACTATGAAGACTTCTGTCACATAAAGGACTCTAATTATGCTAGAGATGTTAGTTTTTGTGGAGAGGAATGGTGGGGTGTCCATGATTCCCTTCATTTTGATATTACAGGAATATTCATGCTCTAAAAAGATTGGGAATTCTTGACTGATTAAAAGCATAATAATATTTGAGGGTTATTTTATAATGCAATCTATCTTCCACGTTTCCTTTAGTCTTCATAACAACTCTATTAGTAGGCATTATTATCTCCATTTTAGGGATAAGAAAACTGAGATGACATATATGACTCTGGTCATAACCTTTTCCACTTAGTGATTAAGTCTTTGGATTCCTCAATTATTCTTTTCTTTGCTCTGTATCAGCTGCCTCCCTAACATAACAATAGGTAGTAGAAATGTCAAATTTATGTCTTGAAATATTCATGTGAATTTCATGTTCTTCAGAGTATGACTAAGGACTAAAGTGACTAAGTAGACAGATTTAACCTCCATTTACATAACAGGAAGCAGAGCTTTCAGCACATCTCACAGCCAATTTCCCATCTTCTTAAGAATCTAACAGCTGATTCAGGATGTTACTAACTGTATCTTAATCTTGTGAATAAAGTATCTTCAGGATGACTTCTGAGAGAAAACTATACCATTTTCCTGAGAAGTTTTTCCATTCTTAAAATGTTCGTTTCCCCAACAGACCTCAGTATATATTTAAATGAGCTCTTTTCCAGCTACTATTTGGTTACTCCATCACTCATCAGAATTCTTTTTCTACTGGCTGAGATTAGAATGGAAGGTCAAAGACATTCCTTTTCACTGACACCCCATAATATCAAGCAATACAGAGAATAACTAAAGGTATTCTCTTGCCTCTTGAAAAACTAAAAAGTGAGGCCAACAGTGGTGTTGTCACCAATATTTTTTCTTTTCTTTTCTTTTTTTTGGGGGGTACACAGGCCTCTCACTGCTGTGGCCTCTCCCGTTGCAGAGCACAGGCTCCGGACATGCAGGCTCAGCAGCCATGGCTCACGGGCCCAGCCACTCCGCAGCATGTGGGATCTTCCCGGACCGGGGCACGAACCCGTGTCCCCTGCATCGGCAGGCGGACTCTCAACCACTGCGCCACCAGGAAAGCCCCCATGTCACCAATTTTTAAGACCAAATAGCAGTGGTAAGAAATTTGAAGATATTTCTGCAAACATCTAAATGATTTCACTCTTCTCTGCTGTCTCTAACTCTTTTACTCAATTTTGAAATTCTTCAGTTAAAAGAGCTTTTCCCAAACTTATTTAGAGTACGATGATAAAGGGATGGTCAAAGTTTCACTGCCTCACCAAGACAACTAAAAGTAAAACTTTAGAGGACAATTCTCATGAATGTAGAAGTGTACACTGTTAAAATTTTCTATACACTCAAAGTCATACATAACTTATCCCTATCCACACATCTACCAATTTTCTCATGACTTTTTCAAATACGAATGCTATTCTGTAGGCACAAGAAATCATAATCATTATTCCAACCTCCCTGCCTTTTAGAACTGTATCATCACCCCCAATCTACAATACAAACACTTCAACATTAACTCCTAAAGCAATCTCTATTGTTAATTCATTATATATTCTTATTGCATCCTATTTCGTATTGGTTGGTTTGCTCAAAGGAGACTATTGGATTTTTAAGCTTAGGAATCATTTTTTACAGTTCTGCTGTAATCCCTTACAATGCAAAACCAAGGGGCCAGTATGCAACAGGGAAATAATGAAGAGAACATGATACTGCTAATTTAGTCCCATTTCATCATTAGGCAAGTCAGTCCTTACTTTTATGTGGCAAACAAATTAAAACATTTGCTCTGACAATATATATAAACTGATTCTTTGAAATCAACAGAAACGTCACCTTAGCTAGTCTACCTCTGACAATTTTGGGGAAGGTATTTTTTCATTATGTTCTGGCAGAAAGAGGGGGTTTTATTTGAAAACATGTCTGTTATTCATTACTACAAAATGGAACATTACTATGCAATACAAAAATAAAATGGTTCTCACTAGACAGCTTCTTTCTGGAATAGACAAAACATTTTAAACATACCTGTCATAATAATCCCGTTGAAAGTCATAGTCCAAGTCAAAAGAGGAGCTGAAAAATAAATACCAAAGAGGATTAATTTGGAACTGTTGATGTAAATTCACAACAGCAGATGGGAAAAAAAAAACCCACGCTAAACCAACCCAACAAATAGATCAACAGATTAGCATGAACTAACAACCAATCATTAAACAACAGATCTCTAAATTCCAATCACCTTAGGTCACTGGCCATTCAGTGGCCAAACTGCAAATTTAGGTGTAAGATTGCTAAAATGTCAACACACAACATTAACAGCTAAAATAAGAACATGGAAAAATACAATAGTAAATTAAACATTTTTATGTCATCCTCCTTCCCTCTCTCCCTCCCCAGCTTCTTAGAAGCTAAATAACTCCTCTTGAAGGACTGTAATTTATGCTTTAAATACCAAACTACTCTTTAATAGTAAAAACCTCAGGGAATTCTAATAATTCTCTGGGAAATGGGGTAAAAGGAGGTATATTAACACAAAATTAATAAAGCATTACTTTTGCACATATAAAACATACTACAGTTAACCCTCCCCACATCCAGAAAACAGATAGAGAAGATGCCCACTGATGGACACAATGCAGTTATAAATAATAAAGTTCCGGACCTGAGTAGAGGGGACGGAGAAGGGTGTTCTGGTACTGACCCGTACATCTCCGCTGCAGATCGTTTCACACCTGCTTTTCCTCGGTTCACTTTTGGCTCTGCGGCCAGATTAATATCTGAAAAAAAACAAAAACAAAAGCTTTAATGACACCTCCGTTGAGGGGTAGGGTGGGGTGGGGTGGTCCTCAAACTGCAGCTTTTTAAAGTGTACATGGCCATACATATCAACAAAGGTCAAAAGATGTACCTCACCTTTCATTGTCATATAAAATAGGCTCAAGAATTTTTTACAAGGTTTGGACTTAATATTCCATTTCTTTGTCCTCTGTTCTGTACCAACAAAGCATTCATTATGCAAAATGCATTAAGTTTGTCTCTGGTACCTTCTACCCTCAGCTCGCACACTTCAATGAGAAACTCTCACCATTCAGAGTGCTCACTCAGTTACTATCAAAGAAGAAAAGTATCAGTGACCAACAGTTGCCTTTCCAGAAATGATTCTGTGTATTTAAAATAAGCACAAATATTAGGAATGAGTAAATGACCTCAGAGATATAAATATATAGCAATTCATGAATTAATATGGTTGAAGTATGGCACCCTCAAAATTATCCCCAAAGGGGAATTCTCCTTACAAACAGGATAACCTGAAAAGTTGCATATAAAATACTTAAGAAATACTGTGCAAGGCTGCCCTGGCAGAGCAGTGGTTAAGAATCTGCCTGCCAATGCAGGCGACACGGGTTCAAGCCCTGGTCTAGGAAGATCCCACATGCCGCGGAGCAACTAAGCCCGTGCGCCACAACTACTGAGCCTGTGCTCTAAAGCCCGCATGCCACAACTACTGAAGCCTGCGCGCCTAGAGCCTGTGCTCTGCAACAAGAGAAGCCACCCAATGAGAAGCCCACGCTCCACAATGAGAAGTAGCCCCTGCTTGCCGCAACTAGAGAAAAGCCCGTGCACAGCCACAAAGACCCAACGCAGCCAAAACTAAAAATAAATAAATAAATTTATAAAGAAAAAACAAACGAAACTCTATTTGGAGAAACTACTAAAAAAAAATAGAGAAATACCGTGCAAACAGCAAGATGCTTAAGTAAACAACCTTTACATGCATGCATACACACACTCCAAGAAAAGGGAAAGACGCAAAAAAAAAAATCCTTGTTTCCATATACAGCATAATTTTTAAAATACCTATGCCAGAGTACCCAGCTGCTTACCATGCCACCCACTACCTACGAAAGAGTTCATGTTCTCCTTCGTATTTTAACAGAAGAGACCATTTGTCAAAAAACTATTAGCCAAAAGCTAGCCAGCTCTCCAAAACTCAGTTTAAATAACTAATTGAAAAACAGACATTTAAGTACACTATTTGCTAAACACCATTACATTTATGAATAATCTTCAGAGTTCTTGTCTCACTAAACATTTCTAATTTTTAATATGTAATGTTTATTAACCTTGCTTTTTACAGTTTTGACTTTGGAATCCTAAGATTTTACAAAACTAAATATAGAATTTTTAAATCAATTTAAAAATGTAATAACAAAATGAAACAGAACTAAATTATATATCAGTTGATTATACAACCTTATAGAATAATTATTTCATGTGATTCTAAACTACAGTATAGCTGACTCTTGAACAACATAGGGGTTGGGGCCCTGACCCTCTGCACAGTTGAAAATCTGCATATAACTTAACAGTTGGCCCTCCTTATCCACGGTTCCACATTGGGGGAATTCAACCAACGTTCCTGTAATACTGTAATACATATTTATTAAAAAAAAAAAATTCCACGTATAAGTGGATCTGCGCAGTGCAAACACGTTGTTCAATCAAAGGAAAACTGTACTAATATCCAAAATAGAATATATAGTAATAAAATGAACCTCAAATCTAAAATAACATTTAATAATCTTAACTTTGGTAAAAACACCGATGATTGTTTAAAACTGTGGTACAAAGCGCACGTAAAAGCATACGTTTTGTTTTCTTAAAAAAGTAATGTGTCCCCTATTCTGCCCAAGATGCAACTGAAATTCAGTAACAATAAACACTCCTGGTATAACAGGTTTCTAAATAACTCCCATTAAAAGGAGCCAACAGTCTTTTGAAAAAGGGACAGACTCCAGGATAGATCAAGAAATACAGATGACCTGGAATATCTTGTGGTACCAGAAAGCAAGGAAGCAATACAATATTAGAAGAGTAAGGTCTCAAGGACACAGGAACCAACTTGAAGGTTATCAATCCACTGGCCAAAGACGAAATATCCTGAGCTCTAAAGAATGATTTGCAATGGACTGAACATATGTAATGCGATCTAAAGTTTAGAATATAAACTGTTTCTCAACAGAGCTCAGATCTCATTTCTCAAAATTTGAACATGCTAGATCACAGAGAACCCTACTGGGAGAACCAATAGCTAAAACAACCTTTTATTGAGTGTAACATACTGAACTAGAAGCTTCTCGTGAATCATCTCAATTAATCCTCTCAATTTATCTAATTTCTCTTGACAACCCCGAAGTATTATTGCCTCAGGTAAGAACAGATAATAAACTGAGGTCCTATTACCTTCATTTTAACAAACGAGAAAAATTAAGGCTCAGCCAAACTAGGTAGACTGCCCAACACATAGTTGTGAGGCCCCAAGATACAGCCCAGCAATCTAACTCTAGAACACATGACTAAGCTATACTGTCTTCACCCAGTCGACTGTGCAGTAAGACACAGCCATTTTAAGCAGCAATAGTACCTTATGAAATATCACTCCTATCTCCCCTACCTTACTGAAGACTGCCAACTAAGAGTTATCCAGTCTCTACTAACACAAAACGGCCTAATAAGTAAAATCCTCTTTAGCCTATGAAACCTATAAACCCAACATTTTTATTAGGCTAATGTCAGTCATAACATCCAGAACACCTCAGACTGTTAACTTTATGGAGAGGGAGACAAAGAGAAGACATGAACAGAAAAACTCTCAGATCTGAATTATATAATCAATGAAAAATTAATTCAACCCAGACCTTACCTAAAACCTGGCCAGCAATCATTCTGCCATCCTCTCCTGCCACAGCAGCCCGGGCATTTCTCTCATTAACATACTGAACGAAGGCAAAACCCTTATGAACAGAGCAACCCACGATTTTGCCATATTTCGAGAAGATTGCCTCCACATCAGATTTCTTGACCACAAGAGTATTGAGATTCCCAATGAATACACGGGAGTTCATGGAGCGAGGATCCGTCTTGTTGGTAACATTGCTGGCCATTGTCTTTGATGGTAAGGTGCTTCACAAAGCTGAAAAACTGAGAGAAAAAAAGGCATTTAGGTGAAAAGATGTTAAAAACAAAACAATCGTTGATAAAAAGCTGTTCTACTCTTATTTTGAACCACTTTCAGTCAACTGAAAAGGATCTCATAGCACCAAGTATATTACTATTCAGAGACTAGAGCCCCCTGAATAAATCCTTATAGAAATTCAACCTCCTATTCTGTAGTATATTCCTGCTAGATTATCCCTTATGGGCAGGGGGGAATCCTCTTCACAGATTATTGGCAACACAATCTTCTTGGGCATTATTAATTCCAAGTGATCTCCCTGTTTTAAAGTCCTCAAGCAAATTAGAACCCCCTAAGCTCTCTACCACTGACTTCTTGTTTTTCACCTTCCCAATCATGCTAACCTAACTATTCCTTGCCATCTGTCATCAGTAACTCCACCTTCTTGCACACTGCTTTTACTAAAATGAGTCTCACTCATTCCCGCGGATACACAGAACTCCAAATTCTGCCCGCAAACTCTTCTTCAGCTAGATGAATGTGGACCTAACACACTACCCTTCAAATGTAATTAACTTTATTATACAAAAGCAATAAACAGAACCAATTCATTCACTCTGGAAATAATCTATTTCCAGGTACTTCAAATGGTTTATAGTATGCCATAGATTATCAATACCATCTTTTTTACAAAATGTAATGATTCTTTAGTTTTTATGTGAAAATATAATACAAAATATAGCTGGGACAATAATGCTGGATGGTGATGATGATAAAACTACCAGGTAGAACACTGCGTGAATCAAAAAAGAACCAGGAGACAGGCTTCCCTGGTGGCGCAGTGGTTGAGAATCCGCCTACCAATGCAGCGGACATGGGTTCGATCCCTGGTCCGGGAAGATCCCACATGCCATGGAGCAACTAAGCCCATGCGCCACAACTACTGAGCCTGCACTCTAGAGCCTGTGAGCCACAACTACTGAGCCTGCGTGCTGCGACTACTGAAGCCCGTGAGCCTAGAGTCCATGCTCCACAGCAAGAGAAACCACCGCAATGAGAAGCCCGCGCACCGCAACGAAGAGTAGCTCCCCGCTCGCTGCAACTAGGGAAAGCCCACGTGCAGCAACGCACCCAAAAATAAAAAAAAATTAAAAAAAAAAGAACCAGGAGAACCAAGGAAGAGGATACAACTTTCCTCAGGCCGTTTCAAAACAAAAATAATCTTTATGTATGTTACAGAGGCACAATCCTGTAATTACATGGAAACTCATGATATCATTTTAAAGTGCGGGGATGTTTTGACATTCTTTAGCTTTTTTATCAGTCTACTGCTCCTTCCCACACCAAAGTTAAAGAGTTTAAGATGGACCCGCCTTAGATTTAGAGTAACATTCTTAAATTTCCCATTCATCCCTTTGAAAGGTACTGACAACAAATTAAACGATACCAGTGTCTAGTATCTCTTAACTTTCCAATCCTCAAGATAATAACAAACTAGTTTTTGTGGATTATGTAAAAATGTTTTATATACACATACATGTAAAAAAAGTATATTTATACATGGCCACCACCATTCTGACCCTTAAAATACCTAGTCATTTCATAAGCATCCTGATTTTAAAGCTGTAAAGCTCCTATCCTTTCTGAAATTCAAGAAACAGCCTTTCTTTTGCCTTCTAAATTACACCTTTATAAACAGTTAATTTTTTGACTAAGCAGTAAAAATTTACCTCACAGTGGCTAGTGAGAATCACCAACAGCCTTTCAACTTAAGTGGGAGCACCAGAAAGTCTTAGAACACCAAGAGGAATCAAAACAGAAACCTACTAAAAGGCCTAACTGGTTTCAAATACTTCTGCTTGGCTCTTAAGGTTTGCTATTAAGTGGGGACTTAAGCCAGTTTTCAGCAAATATTTTTCCCAAACAATAAATATACCAATAGCAATTACAGGTAAAATCTCCCTTTTAAAAAAAAATTTTATTTATACTTCGCTCTGTTGGGTCTTCACTGCTGCGCGCGGCTTCCTCTAGCTGCGGCGAGCAGGGGCTACTCTTCGTTGCGGTGTGTGGGTTTCTCACTGCAGTGGCTTTCCTCGTTGCGGAGCATGGGCTCTAGGCACACGGGCTTCAGGAGTTACGGCGCGTGGGCTCTAGAGCGCAGCCTCAGTAGTTGTGGCGCATGGGCTTAGCTGCTCTGCGGCATGTGGGATCTTCCCAGACCAGGGCTTGAACCCGTGTCCCCTGCATTGGCAGGTGGATTCTTAACCACTGTGCCACCAGGGAAGCCCCCTCCCTGGGTTTTAACGAGAATAACAACCATGGGTAAAGCATGGACAGCATTTACAACAGAACTTGGTGTCAAAGCATCCATCCCAACCAAAACTCCAAAATGCACGCTGCTAAGGGCAAGCCAACAGCTAACACACACGGTATCTATCACTGTGGGAGAAGCAAAGAGAAGCAACTGGGACTAAAAGACCCAGAAATTGAAGAATACCAAAACATCCAGGTAGTATTTATTGGAAAGGAAAAGGGAACCAATGTCAGGAAAAGCAGTTCCAACAGGGAGAATTTTGCCTGCTCCAATAGTGGGTGAGTACAAGGTACTGCAGCTTAAGTCTGAAGGTGCTAGAACAGCTGAAGTCTGTATAAAATCTCAATACCAACTCAGAAACCCCATATGCACCATTCCCTTCTCAATCCCTTTCATCTCCCTAAAACTCCTAACTTTACAGTAAAATCACTTTCCTCCTTTTAAAATAGTTCTATTACCTAAATGTATATCCCTGCATAGTATAGTCCTACCCATTAAAACAAATTTGACTTTTTTTTTTTTTTTTGTGGTACGCGGGCCTCTCACTGTTGTGGCCTCTCCTGTTGCAGAGAGCACAGGCTCCGGATGCGCAGGCTCAGCAGCCATGGCTCACGGGCCTAGCCACCCCGTGGCATGTGGGATCTTCCCAGACCAGGGCACAAACCCATGTCCCCTGCATCGGCAGGCGGACTCTCAACCACTGCGCCACCAGAGAAGCCCTGATGTGTCTTTTAAAGGCTCTTTTTATAAGTCCCCCTTTAACTTAAAATTTATCTGTTGAAGAATCCTGGGCATTTGTCCTGCAGTTTTTTCTAGAATTTCATACCCTCAGTATAATTCCACATATTCTTCTGTCCTTTGTATTTTCAGAAATTGGAGGCTGGGACCAAAGGCTTGATTGATCAGACTCATGTGTAACACTTCTGTAAGATTATATACAGGTGGCATTATCTTTTTGTGGTTAGTAATGCTAAAATTCTACCAGATCTCTCTAGGCATTATGGTCCCTCAAGATTCTAATATATTACTTAGAAAGAACTTGGAAAATAGTTTATCAGTTCTTGCATCTTAGTAACAGTTTGCCTGTGTCCTTATATTTGTCAGTTTCACTGGGTATAAAAATCACTGAATAACATTTTCTTTCCTTAAATATTTTATTCCATTTACTTCTGGACTGTCACAGAATCATTCCAAAGTGTAAACCTTGCTGGCAAAGTTGTATTTTTCTCAACTTGAGTAGAAACTGCAGGGGTTTTGCTTTATAGTAACTCATTAAGCTTTTTTCTTTTTCTTTTTAAAGCTTAACAGAAATGGAATAGTGTATCTGAAGCTGCCTCATGGGTCACAGAAGTTTACACTTTGGAGTCACCCTCATAAGACAGGTCAATTCCTCCTAGCTTTTTTAAAGATAGTATCTGTGAAGGAAGAAATGGGAGAAACTGTTCTGACTGGGTTAAAACTCAGACCCAGAGGGTACAGTCTTAAAGAACTATATCAGATTTTAAGTGTAAAAGCAAGTTGCAGAGAAAGGGGTCAGTTTTTGCTTTTTACTTTATACAGAGCTGTAGCATTAGGTTGCAGTGGGTTGGCCAAAAAGTTCGTTCGGTTTTCATAAGATGGTATGGGAAAACCTGAATGAACTTTTTGGCCAAGCCAACATTCTACATGCATTTTGTAAAAGATTTTAAATTCAGTATTCTAATTACCAGCAATTGCAGTCTTTAGAAAATTCACAGATTACTTTAAATGACACGAAAAATTAAAATGTTTAAGTTAGAAAGCAGTATATATAATTGTACAATACCTAACAGGAGGCATATATACCTACCCACATAATAACTGTGTGCTTAGGAAACATACGGCAGAAGTATTTAAAAATATTGTTCCATGGGTACTCTTGTGGTTAATCAACTGTTACCAACTTCATAGTTTTTTTATATTACCCAAATTTTCTACAATGAACATGTAAGTTTTTTGTTTTGCTTTTAGGAAAACATTTTAAAAGTCAAGCACCTAACTCCTAATCAGGAAATGCATTTGAGAGAAATAAAAAAGGGCCCATCACATTAGTAACAACAATCCAGGTTCTTTAAACATTTATTTTTAAAAAAACTTTCAAATGTTTTGAGAACATCAAATGTACTAATGTACACTAACAGTCTTAACAACACTGTTACATAATGAGGTAACGTTAATTCACATGAATTAGTTTTAACAACCTATTCTACTGTCTCCGTGAAGAATAATGTCTAGTTCACGGATCCAGAGTTTATAAATCACAACTTCTTCCACTTTTTGAAAATCAGATGTTTCTGGCACATCATACTCAGCAATTTCTCTGAGTACTCTGGTCACATCCTGCAAAAGTTTTCTCAGCAAAATCATTAAGATAAATTCATTCTTTTAAAAACTCAATACTGAATACTACAGAAGAGCTAAGTAAAAGTACATAGAATAAAAAATATACAGAATCAGTTTCTTTCCTAAAATTGGTTTCAAAGAGTAAAACCAAAGGGGGAAAGATTTCTGAAATGATTATGGTCCCCTGGATACTCTGCGTCCTGTTTAATTCAGTAGCAGAGATCAAGTGGATCTGGTTACCGGAAAAGCAGAATTCCACCACAGCACAGAAAAAGATTGAGTATTTTCCTAGAGGCTATTGGGTGGCAGTACTCAAACCTCTAGCTCATGGATGCATGCGCATTATGTGTT